CCAAAGCTCCCCTCTGCTCCTCTGGGCTCAGGCACTCTCAGCATGGCACTGCCATGGCCCCAGCTCCTTGTCTAGAGAGCAAATCCTAAATCCTGCTGCTGGAAATGTTGCCAGGCACCAGAGTCCCTGCAGAAAAGGCTCTGGATGCTGGAGGAGAGCAGAGGGCAGGGGCCATGTGGCAAACCCAAATGCAGGGGACCCCTGGGCCATGGCGGGTCTGCAAACATTGTGCTTCCCAAAGCTGTGCCCCTCCAAAGCAGCAAGGGCAAGAGAGAAATGAAGCCATTGCACTTGCCAGGACATGGGCTTGCTCACCTGGCAGGACTGAAAGCACCGTCCCCTTGCCAAAAATGACTCTGGCTGCCACATTTACACCCTGACACATCCCATTGCAAAAACTCCCCTGCCAGCCGTGCAGCTGACCTCAAGCACAAAGCACCTGGGAATGCAGGCACCAGCAAAGCTCCCTGACACACCAGGCTCCATTCCCTGCACCAGGCAGCATCTGTTCCCCAGCTGCTGCCTGAGAAGCAGCACTTCCCTTTGCCTTTCCCAATTTGGGGCAGCCAGGAGAGACAAGACCCAGCCCAGGCAAGACTTTCCCAGAAAGCTGCTCACTCACTGGGCTGGATGGACAGGTGTGTCCCCGAGCCAAAGGTCACCTTGTTGTAGCCAGATCCAAAGTCACACAGCATTTCCTCTCCTAACAAAAACCTTCCCCAGCACCTGGCACACTGCTCATGCCCAGCCCAGCAGACACTGCTGAGTGCCAGGAGGATGCAGCCACAGCCTGAAGGGCAGAACTGCCATGGTCTCATTGCAGCATCAAGGGCACTGTTGGACCTACAAGGACAAGCCCCTGCCTGAGTTCAGCCCTGACCTTAGCAGCCCCTGGCTTCTGCTCGTGCTCTGGGCTAAAGGAGTGGCTATCTCATGCTGGTTCCCATCTCACAGGCTGCTCTGCATCATCTGCAGTAAATGAAATGTCAGCTGAAATCTGCTTCCCCTGAGAGAGGGGCTCAGACACAAGGAGCATGTGTAGAACACTCAGCAGTGGACACTCAAGGACTCTGGACAAAGGACACACAGAAAGCTGCTCACTCACTGGGCTGGATGGACAGCCTGGTCCCTGAGCCAAAGGTCAGCTTGCCGTAGCCAGAGCCTGAATCACACAGCATTTCCTGCCCTAACAAAAAGCCCAGCCAGCCCCTGCAGAGCTGAGAGAGAAAAGCAACCACAGCTGGCACAGCCATGGCACGAAATGTGGTCAGAACCCCAGAGTGGGGATCTGAAAGGAAGGACAGATCCCTGACAGGGTAACTGAGGACATTCTCTAGTAGACTTGTCTTCGTCTCATGTGGGAATCAGAAAAACAGAAACTCAGACACTCACTGAAGGATTTGATCTGCAGCCTTAGGAGAAGCTTAGATTGATGTAAAAATACAATACACAGACATTAAGCATAAAAATCATAAACTTATATTTCTATAGTTGCAGGTGAGAATATGCCTTAAGTAAGTGAGACACTATTCTATGATAGTGAAGAGTCTATAGTATAATAAAGTAATTGTATAAAGTAACCTGATTGCAGAATGAGTTTTTTGCCTCTCCCAAAGGTGAGTTTCCAGGAGGACTCAGTTATCCCACAGCAATCAACCTTGATACAAAACTGATAAAGCAGAAAAGCCTCAGCCTTCAACAGCCAGAACACACTGCTGGACATTTCAGAAGGGGATGAAATTTCCACCACTTGTTGAAAGAACTGACAGAGGTGTTTCTAAAATTGCTCATGGACTAATGAAGGAGTCAGGCAGATCAGCCAGCTGGTCAATCTCAGAAGCTAAGCAAGGGACCAGACCCATTAGAGAAAGAAGCAAAGAAAAATTAAACAGACAAAACCTTCCAGAAAAAAGCAATCCAAGGTCCCAATTTTTCCTGTTTGTCTCATAGAAAGAAAGAACACAGAGGTGTAATTATCTAATTATCCATCTTCACTTACTTGGTTTTACAATAATTCTTGTTCCTTGTCCAAAAGTTATTTTCCCATAGTTTCCTGTGTTCACACAGCCAGAAAGTGCTTTGCAAAAACCATCCAAAGAATTATATTTGCCTTTTTAACTCCTCCTTTCCTAGAAGAGAAGCCAACTCAACAATATTGGGAGTAGGAAATGATAATGTCCATAGTTTATGATGGACTGAGACTCATGGCTTAGCTAGAGACATCAGCATGAACCTGTTACACCCAATTGTATGTAGCCCTTCCTTTTCTTTCTCCTTGAAACTGGAAACTGAGCTTTTTTCACCAAGTGGTAATTATCACTCCATCTTAAGTGTATGTCTGCTTTCAGCCATAAAAACAATTACAAGGCAATCCTTCATGAAGAAATAAAAAATACCAATTTTTTTTTCATTACCTTGTTTTCATTTGAGAAGGTGAACTACCAGTTTCAGGGAGAACTTAGAAAAATGATGTGTATGGTGATAAAAACCTTAATGGGCTCGGTTTCTACCTTATTTGCTGGCAAACATATCTGGCTTAAAATAAAAAGAATTTTCTCCTGGTGAACATCAGTAAAACACACTGCAGCAATGTGGTTTTTCTTTTCCTTTTGTTAAAGTCTTGTACCACATCCAATCTCACAGGCAGTAATAGTCTCTTCCAAAACACTGAGCCACTCTAGTTGAAATTAAAGCTGCTTTGCATTTATTTCACCTGCACATAAATGAAAACTGGGTATTTCTAAAACCACTAAGTTCTTCCCTGCTCCTACTGATAGTCTTATAGTCTACCTTGGCATGAAAATCCATGTACACTGATATTTTCTGAACAAAAAAATTGCAGGCGGCAAAAAAAAAAAAAAAAAAAAACTTTATAAAACTTTCTGGAAGGTGAAGACACTCAAGAAAATTTTATTCAATAGATGTCAGTGATCAAAGTCAGGTGAGGACTTATAAAAATTTTTAACAGCCTTTGCTATCCTAGAGGTTTTAAAGCCTATGTTAGATAGAAATTAAACATCAAATTTCTGGAATATTGAAATATAAGTATTCACATAGCATTCCCCACTTTAATTTTGGAAACATAGAATAAGAAAATTCCTAAATCATCAGTAAATCTCCATAGGGAGCTAGTACTGGACATCTTTGCCCAGATCTACCTGCCTGCAATCCTCAGAACCACAGACACTTCTTTCCTGCAGCCTTTCATGATTATTTCTGGCTTTACTTTATTTAAGCCCTTGATTATCACCTTCAAATTTACACCTTGGCAAATGTTTACAAAATCCTGGCCATGGAAATCTCTGATCTATGACAGATTTTCTCCCTACTTATTAAAAAAGGAGTAATTATCAAATGCAGTTTTCAATTTCTAAAGGTAAAACTTGGATAAACCTTGATTTGAAAAGAAACTGACCCTCTGAAGTACATGTTCAGGGAACTGAGGTATCTTGAGAGACCAGAAACATGTCCTGCACTTGTGAGCTGTCTAAATTTACTACAATCCTTATAATCAATAGGAAAACATGGACATTTTTCAAGTGCAGTTCTCATCTTGGGGATATTAACTCTGAAAAAAAATAAATTTAAAAATCACTGAAGAAGATGGAAGCCAAATCTGTGACATTCAAATTCTCTGGACAGAGATATAGAATTCTGTCTCCTAGGAGAAGCACAGAGAGAAGAAGAGAAAACAATCTTTATCTCTGCTCCTTTGTTTCTCCATGTGGAATGTGGTGTGGAGATTGTTCACCTGCAGTGACTGTTGGGTTGGATTCTGGTGAAGATTGTTTGGGTTCAGTGACCAATTGGATCCAGCTGTGGCTCAGACTCTCAGCAGAGAGCCAGGAGTTTTGTGAGTTAGGTAAGTCAGAAGTATGTAAAATAATATAGTATCTCTTTAAATAGTATATTAATGTAATATAATACAGTTTTTATAGAGCTGTTTATCAGAAGGCTTCAGCCTTCTGATCTGGAGCCAGATATCATAATTTCTTCTCACAATCCAGGGTTTGCCACATTTTTACTACAGCCAAATCCACTTGGGATGGCTGATTTGACCTTGAATATTTGGCTGAAAGGGAGTCAACCAGTCTCACAAGTCTGACACTTTCAAGATGAATATTCACTTATTCTGTATCTGAATGGTGACACATTCCACTTACACTTGGTATTGGAAAGATTGTCATTTAGGGAAAAAATTATCTTTAATTCCCTGAATCACAGATACATAGCATGGTTTGGGTTGAAATGGACCTTAAAGGTCATCTCACTCCAGCCCCCTGCCATGGGCAGGGATGTCACTCACTAGACCAGGTTGCTCAAAGCTCATCCAACCTGCCATGGCCAAAGCTCATCTCAATATTTGTCCTGGGTTGTAAAATATGGTTTGGGGTATTCTATTTCCCATCTGTTAGAGGTGGGGCAGTTATCCTCTGTTCATTGGGCAGTTTTCTTGATCTCTTCTACAGCTAATCCTCCTTCCAGGAGATATCTTTTGCTTATAGGTCATTGAGCGTCACTGCATGGCTGATAAAATTCCAACATCCCACTGGGAGATGCTCCACCCAAAAAGAAGAGCCAAACATTCCTACGTGGATATAATCTGAGATTTAGAACACCAGAAATGGCCTTTTCCCAGTAAATTCACAAAAGAACAGTGTTGTTCTCCACTAAATTCCCAAAAAAAGACCACCACCACTAGACCTTCAGAGAAAAATGCCACTGTTCTACAAGATTAACTACTTCAGCAGAGCCACACCTGTCACTCCAAGACTACAACCACCGTTTAATAAGACTACTACCACCACCTTGACCCACAGGGTGTCAAGTCATATTCTGACTCTGTCAATAGGGATTTTTTTTTGTTTGTTTGTTTGTACTATTACATTTGTATTTTTAGTTTTCCTAATAAAAAACTGTAATTCCTATTCCTATATCTTTACCTGAAAGCCTTTTAATTTCAAAATTATAAAAATTCAAAAAGAAGGAATTTATATTTTCCATTCCAAGAGAGAGGCTCTTGCCTTCCTTAAACAGACACCTGCCTGTTCAAACCAAGACAGTATTATAAAGTTCAGTTTTTGATAAATTTCTGGCACTTACTTGGATAAACAGAGAGTTTTGTCCCTTTTCCAAAAGTCAGCTTGTCGTAGCTACCTCTGGAGTTTCACTGTGACAAAGAGCTTTACTAAAACTGCTGGCAGCAGCTTCTGAGTAAAAGGAGATTTTCAGCTTTGATGTGTGCTCAAAGATCTCTCATGGTGTTTCTTCTCAAGTATCCTAGGTCAAAACCTGACCTAGGGAAGGTGACAAGGTCTGGAGAAGGGGGTTGGAGTGAGGTGGTCTTTAAGGTCCCTTCCAACCCAAACCATTGTGTGATTGAAATGCTTGACAAAATCCTTGTGACAATTCCATACAGTGAATCCCAGAGCTGTGGGATGCTATCTCACCAGTCCAGCTCTATTATAAATTGTGGTCCATCCTCCTGTGACAGCAGCAACTGTAGGAATCACAATAATTAATTGTGAATGTGAAGATGAACAAGAAAAAGCAAGACAGCAGCAAAATTTTCCTACAGCACTTTGTACATCCAGCCCAGTTGGTGCTTATCTTATTGCAGCTTACACCATCCTGCAACATCAGGCATCTCACATCAAAGCTGTCTAAGTGTGCCCATTCCCTGAAGAGCACCAAAATGATGATGAAGCCTTAAGGATTTATTCCTCTCTAAGATCTGCCTTTGTTCTCACATGTTCAGTTTTGGGGAAAAGAACCTCAAACCAAACATTGAAAGAGTAAACCCCAAAACCAACCAAACCAAACAACAACAGAACCACAAACACTTCTATAATCTTCCTGTATGACTAAAATTATAGACAGGCCATCTACAGAGCAACTCCTCTATTTCTGCCTCTATTTGCATTCCAACAAATGCGAAGAGATTTCTAGAAACTGGCACTGCAGCCCCCAAATTCAGTATTTTCTTTTTCTAGCCTACACAAGACCAGCTACACACCAGTAACTCTGACAACTTACATGCAAACAGAAGAGTGGAATAGACTAAAATTTTTTTTTCCTTCACATTGTTTTTTCCTTATTCCTCTTCTATTATACTCACTTGGATTTACCTTCAGAGCAGTCCTTGTCCCAAAGTGAGTGCATTGCCA